ATATAAACAAACCACAAGAACCTGAAGAAAAGCCAAAAATGGTGAAATATGCCTCTACTCGGATGGCAAAGGATGAAAGGATTTTCCTTATTTTTTTATCTTTTTGAAGAACTGTGTTATTCTGTACAAGTGCAAGAAGTACAGATAAGAGTAATTCTGAATAAATATTACTGACTATATTCTACACTACCAAGTGGAAAAGATAAGGTCATTCCTCATGGATAATGAATTATTTTTCATAAATTTCATATTACAAAATCTCCCATGGTGTTTGGGCTGTATACACGGTTATTGAGACATACTCTCTGTCCTGAATAATTCAGGTGGCTGCAATAAGCAAAGACCTAAGGCTGAGTTAAAGCTATTGGGGAACAAGAAGTGGTTTAAATAATACTTCTGTAGAAGAAAAAAAAAAAAAAAAAAAGTTGGAAAGCACAAAAAATATACTCTCTGTCCTGAATAATTCAGGTGGCTGGTGGCTGCTCAGACCTAAGGCTGAGTTAAAGCTATTGGGGAACAAGAAGTGGTTTAAATAATACTTCTGTAGAAGAAAAAAAAAAAAAAAAGTTGGAAAGCACAGAAAATCTCAGTGAAAATCCCTGCATCTACTTCACTGACATTAGCATTTTCATTTGCATCACAGAAGCAGACAAAAGCTGGTCAAAAGGTAACAAGGTCATGACAATGCTTAGGAGTCAATCTGTCCCTCCCTGAAAATTGTTGAAATTATGGGATTTCTAAGACTATGCATTGCAGCAGAAGTGAATGAACGAGTCATGTCGGCTTTCTCCCAATTAACATAGCGCGAATGACTCAAAACAACTAATATACCAATAGTTCTAACTACCGAACAGCACAACCACCAGCAGGGCACTCTCAAATGTCTATATTGGCACTAACTGTCTCAGGGCATTAGGCTTCATATTTGAGGGGCTGTCCATCAGGAACTTAGAAAGGGGATTAAAAGTCTGTTTGTTTGGGTTTTTTTACTGTTTTACAGACATTTCATTTATGAAGACTTACCTGCAACTGTCTAAAGGACGGTGCGTTGTCATTTGTATCTTCGATTTTAATGACAGCTGTCCCTGTAGTGCACAAACCAAAAGGCTGACCTGCCATATCTCTTACTTCAACTAACAAAGTGTAACCAGGTACTAGCTGAAAAGATGAAGCACACAGAATTTGAAAAACTCATTTTTTTTAATCACATACTTACATGAGTAGAACTAAATATTTTACTCCCATTCCCCAACTCTGCTCTAAGTTCAGTGCTCTCCTACAAAATGAGGCAATTAGCATTGGGGCTTTTTCCCTATAGTTCCAGAAGGAAAACAACTACAATATTTTTCAGTGGCTAAGTAGACACCGAGTTCAGTAATGTGTATGGTATAACCTGTATCTAATAAAGCTTCTCATAACGTCAGCTTTATTTTCCAGTAGCTGAAGCTTTGAAAGATACAAATGGTGCACTTTGGCTGCTATCTATGTCTCCCCTTTGGAGCAGCAGAGTATTCCCTTAGGCTTCCAGCCGAAAAAGTGTTTCAGTGCATGTCTCTTACTTCAGTGAGGATGGCCAGGGTCTGGCAGGGCAGCAGTCGGTGCCCTTTTCAGTTCCAAGGGGTCACAGATAAGCAGCCCATTTAAACCCCTGACTTGAGTCACAACAGCAGAAGGTTTGGTTTAGCCTTACTGATAACCTGAACAATCCAGGGAAATGGGGATCAGGGGGCGGGGGCAGCATTGGGCACAAAACGGGGGAGTTTGTAAATCAAGACAGTAACTCCAGCTCCGAATGCCTGCAAGTACGTTTCTCAGGTGGAGGAAAGAAATCTCCTGTTCTACTTTGTAAGGTTATCTTTAAAAGACAGGCAGTGGACTCATTTTTCAAGCTCTCCTTCCCTCAGTAGTCACTGTGACTGTTTCCTTAGTAACCATGGTGATGCTCACAATCGCTGCATTTTCTCATTAAAAAAAGTTGAGCAGTGTACCTGCAAGTACACAATTTTGCAAAGCACTCATAATGTGCATTTTCAGCCATGAAGCAACATAAGTATGTCAGAATATGACTCTCTTTATCTTCAAGAAAGGTGTGCTTGCAGCAGTGTTATTTCCTAGAAGGATTCTTATGCTAGAAACATTATTTTGAATTACAGATGCCTGTCAGTTTTTCTAGCATAAACAATCTCTCACGCGACATTTTATCAAAAAAAAAAAGCCTCAAAAAACAAAACCCCCTTTATTTTGTTTACTTGAAAACTAGTTGTTAAGAATAAATGGTTTCTATTTATATTTTATGGCTTTAATTTTAGGAAATGTTATATCACTGTTTAGGTTTAAGATACTGGAGATATTTCTATGGAGTATAACATGACTGACAACTTATAGAAAAGTTGGTTCATCTTCCCTGTAAAGAAGCAAGAAGCACCTCAAATGGAGCTTAATTAGGAGGAAACAGTGGCTCATGGGATTCATAAACAGAGAAAGAATAAAATCCATAGGACTTTTGATCCATGGGTCAAATAGGAGAGCAGCGGGAGGTCCCCTGCCAAGATTTGCTATAATATGGCAGATCTATGAAGAAACTCTGGACCAATTACAGGTCCCTGGAAAGCTTTGGAAGCTCCGTGAAACAAAAAAAGGTTAACAAAAATTGTCTGGTGATGCCTATGCCAGCAATTCAGAGTTAGGAAGCTATCTATGTGCCCTAGATGACAGCTAAAGATGCTTCAGTAAACGTCACCTCTCTATCCAGTTGTGGTGATGATACAGAAATGACACCTGTGTCACCATGTAAAGAAAAGGCTGGGGGTAGTGGTGGATTTTGTGACACAATGCGGTATTTCAATGCAGTATGCAGAGTATAAGGCTCATCTCTGTCTTCTGCAGTCACTTTTCCAACAAGTACACCTGTGAACACAATACAGCAACTTTTAGTTCCAGAAAAATCTGTAAATCACCCAAAAATTATTTGACCAGGTATTTGTATTTTAGATACATGAAAATAGCTATTTGGTCACATAGCTCTAACTGAAAACAACATTAAAAACACAGTAAACAGTAGTGAAAATGCAGTAGCAGTGTAAAATTTCCTGTTTAAATCCTCTGGCTATTTTTCCCTCCTTCTTAGACAAATTTGTCATTATTGCAGATGTCACAAAGTATAATCAAAAGAAATACTAGAAGTTTAGATTTTAGTTAGTGGTTTTGACATTGACTTCTAATTGAGCACCCCAGACACAGTATTTGACAGTGACTTGAGTCAATTGAGCATCCTAAACACAGCTGAGGAGGAGTTGCCAGGGAGGATGAGGAGGAGGTTCGGTACTTTCTGGCAAGGTTCAAGCTACAGTACTGCCTCTTGGCACTGCTGCTGTACTTCATCCCTACAGATGGACTAGTTTGTTTTGGAACTTTGCTCTAAATCAGTAACTCACACAGTAAGCAGAACAGCTCAGAGAATGAAGTTTGGGGAGAAGGGGAAGATGCTTCGCTTCCTTTTTTGTGAAGCAATTTAGACTTTCCCCACTGTATACCCCTAGCCTAGGAGACGATTGAGGAATGGCAAACCATGGCTTGTGCATTGCTTATTCTCTGGGGTCCACCCTTCTCCCTTCTTTTGTTCTGTGTTGCACAGACACATGAAGTCAGTAACAGGCAAATCCCTGCCTTTTACAGATATGGGCAGAAGCAAGACTGTCTCCCCCAAGGAAAAGTCCTACCTTATCAGCTCGGACAAACACTGTAAGCTTAATCAAAGACATTTTACACCTTAGAACACCACTGATTTAGTTGTTTTGGAAACTAATCTGTTAAAAATGCTGTTGTGTCCATCAAAACACTTCCTGGAAACTTCCTGTTCTGAAGTTCTTACAACATTTTAGGAACACTGAATCAAAAAAACCTTTTATTTTATACAACACTTTTTCACTATGATTCAGATGACATTTTGGAATTTCTAGTCATTAAGAAATCTTGAGCTGCTCTTTGGACATTCAGCCTTTGCTGTAAAGAAATACTCCTTAGAAAATCCCACTGAAATTGATTAAAAGGCAGGATTACACCTAGTCATACTGGTATGTAACTGAGCTGAGCACTGGTAACTGTGTTCACTAATTTAAAACAATTCTTACCAGGTTTAGAATTTTCAGGAACAGAAAACTCAAAAACCTCCTGTGTAAAATATGGAGCATTATCATTATCATCCTCTATCCTGATTGTATGCACAAGTGGTATCTCTGGTGAATAACCATCCGGAGTGGTGGCAAAGCAAATGATCTGTAAGACATAAATTCAGTAACTCACTTCATGCTTAAGCAACATGAAGAATTATTATACTTTTAGTTCAATGGAGGAGTCAACAAAATGAAACACAGCGTGCTAAGCAAACCCTTCACAAGACCAGGCTCTTCAGCCACATGCAAGGGGAACTGACTGATACCTTACCAGGACAGCAACACAAAAACTTTAAATGCTTTCCAATCTTCCCCCTTTCCATTCCTCACGCTACAAGTCTTTGAACCACTTCCTTTTTTTCCCCTCAACTCTGTCAAACTTGTTTTCCAAGTCTCTTGAACACATTTTTTAAGGTGTTTATGAGGCAATCTCAGCCTTACCAAAAATGTATATGTAAATATTGCTACTTAGAAGAAAATGAAGAACAGCAAAACTATTTGCCCATCACAACATAATCTGGAACTGCAAATTGCCTATACTATTTAGAAGCTGTTTGTTTCCACTGCCTTCTTTCACTTCTTAGCCAGTAGAGAGAGCAGTGTACCTTGTTAACAAAATACCAAAACTGAACAGCTTGAGAGAGGCTCAAAAAAAATAAAAAAAAAAAAAACACAGGAAAAAAAAAATTACAGCCCAATAGAGCTTCCCAAAATTTTATTTTTATGCAGACCTTTTCAACCTTCCCTGAAAAGCTCCGAAATAACTTCAAACTCTTCCCAAAAGTGATGCAAACCCAGTAGCTAACTACATTTATGCTTTAATTATTTAAATAATTTATGTTTTAATGTCTAAGCACTGAAAAGAAAAACTGTTCTCAAGATCTAGATGACCAGCTATTTATTTTTCATGTATTTCATTTCTACAACACCAGACACAATACTTGTAACAGACAGCTGATTCCAGATCTTGTCTGCTCCTGGTTTCCCCTGTAACCCAGATTTCAAATACACACATGACAGAAAAAAAAGATTTAATTATATTTACAGAATTTAGGCCTGTACCTGGAAGCTTGGATATTGTTCACGGTCTACTGCACGAGTAGCAAAGATATTTCCAGTTTCTCTTTCTATGTAAAACAAACCCTTTGGATCTTGATCAATTCCCGGTCCACTTGCAGAATAATAAATGGTGTAGTTCTGAGCTGTGTCTGACTGGACCTATAAAGAACATGTTTTTAAGCCCAAGAAAAAACAGCAGCATCATTCTAATACATTTCCCACTTTTTCATGATGCTATTAGCACAGGCAAGGACTCTTCAAAAAACAAAACTTGGTTTACTCCTACTTCTTTAGCAGCTTAAACTTCACAGAATAGAACAGCTTGCCATGTAACTGCCTTCCTTTATAATGTGTATACCTGAGAAGGGGGAGTTAATTCAAACTCAACAAATGTGTAGGACTATCAAACAATTAAATAAATTACAGTGTGCATAAAAATATTATTTTGAAATCCAATCTCTAGAACACTGCACATACAAGGCACATTCAGATACATACAGCTTATTATTTCTGTCCTTGCTCAAGGGATTTTGGGTTTAGGGCGCTCATGGAGAATGTGGTTTGCAACTAGAGAAGAAAAAGCAACGGAAGGAAAGAGAAAAGGAAGGAAGGAAGGAGGGAGGGAAGGGAGGAGGGAGGGAAGGGAGGAAGGAAGGTGAGAGGGAAGGAAGGAGGGTGAGCGGGAGGGAGAGAAGGAGGGAAGGAAGGAGGGAGGGAGGGAAAGAAGGAATGAGAGAAGTCCACCTGGAGTATAGTCCAGTACAGTCCAATATATGCCAATATATGATCCTTGAGGTCTTCTTCCAACCTTAATGATTCTATAATTCTATATATGCCAATTCAGATAGTCTCTGCATCTCATTACAATCACCAAGGAGTTAACATTAGCAGTTATCTATTTATAAACACTCTCCTCCCCAAATACTTTACTTACCTACTGAATGCCAGAAGTTGGGAAGGTAAGATTAGTATAAGAATGATTGCTGTGAACAGACTCTGTTATTACTTGTCTCTACACATCTGCTACCAGCCACTCTGTAATCTAGTGAAGGCTAGATGGATCTATGATAAATTTAGTTCTTGCATTTCTCTTTCACGCCTACTTGTTCTCCTACAGTAAGTACTTTTCCTAATATAGACCATACTTAGTCTTCAATGTTACAGGGATACATCTTGAACTCCAGAAAGGATGTAGACATGCAGGGAAGATTCCCCCCACTCTGTGTCTAGAAAATATTTTTCTAAACAACATTTTGTGGGGGTTTGTTTGTTGTTTTTTTTTTTTTTAATTACACACTTCACTGATTTCCAGACCAAAGAGCTCTCTTCTGATACAACGCCTTTCTCCTTTTTACAACTTTTGCACACTTGCAGTTCATCCCAGCTACTATGATGACAAGTTATTTCAGCTACCAGATCACAAGATACACATTGAACATGATAGAACAAGACAGAGGAATAAT